TACTAGTATTCCAAACTAAAGAATCCATATTATATAATATTATTTCTAATTTTTTTTATACCATTTTTCACAATTAAATTAATAATGTGACATGCACAATGTTGGTAAAAAATTTCAAATTGTCATAAAAAGGAAAAATTATTTTAAAAAAATATAAACTCTACTATTAACACTTGCATTATCTAAAGTTAAACTTATCACTTTATGAACACATCATAGTTTTCTAAAACTTTAAACATTTTATATAAATTTTTTTACCATTATGACCTATCCTTTAATCTAAATCCTAATAAAAATTATTTATTACATTCGTTATCAAAATAATGACTAGTCACACAAATATAATCTTGTTTAGCTTTACTATTCCAATATCGGCGGTTAGAGTTACACTAACATGACAACTTTGTATTTATTTTTTAATTTTAATTTCATTTTCCCAAACAATTTTATTAAATCATTTCTAGTTGCAGTTTTAGAACAACTTTTAAATCATGGAAAAATGAATTTTTATAAATCTTTCAAAATATTTATCTCAACCATATTAATAGGTTGATCAATTGCAACATAAATAAGCTAGTTGTTCCCTATATACATCAGAATTATAACGCTAATAGTACCCATATTAGTTATTGGTTTGATTGGTTTCCTATTTCCATGTTGATTCATATATACTAGCATGCATTTTTAAAGTACTATACTATTACCTGCATCAGCTTTAATTTTTCACATACTTCATCTTGCTTTCTTCACGTGAACTCAATTTTCTGTCTTGTAAAACTTTTCGAAATGCACCCAAACGTCTGATGTATGCCTGTCGTCGTTATGATTGCGGTTGATGAATTCGCTTTGCTTGAGATGGGTTGGACGAGACGATGATTATGAGGATGACTTCTTGACCACCGGAGCTGTAGCAGCATGGGGAGGAATGAAGGGGGGGGGGGGGGGGGGGGAAGGAGAATATTATAGGTGTATTGGATTTAAGTATGAGAAAGTGAAACTATTTGAATCTACTGCATTTACGTTAGTAAATTTAAGGGGACTAGGATAATTTCCTTCATCATCAAAATTGATGGGATGGAAATATCTATCCATTCTAGTTAAAAAAAAAAAAAATTGATATAAAGAAATAAAGAAGGAATTGGAATTTGAATATGAATGAAAATTGTAAAAACTAATAAAAATTAAAATGAGAGCAAATTGACATGACAACAAAGAGTTGAGAGATTTCAATAGAGAAAATGAGAGAATTTGGGATGTGAGGAAAATGAGAGTTTAGGTCCTATCTATAGAAAAAAAGGGGAAAAGAAAATGACCAAAAAGATACCTCCAACTGCTATAAAACAACTATATTTCAAGGGTAAACTGACTTTTTGCAAAAAAATATTTAATTAATTTTTTTTGTCCAAGCCGCAAGGTTGCCATTGGGCTGCCAATGGCCAACCCGTCGGGTTACCCACAGGTTGAAACCCCCCCCTGATGAGTTGGACAGTTTTAAAAAAAAAAAAAATATATATATATAACTAATATATATATATATATATATAACCCGTTGGGTCATTGGGTTGGCCTATGAAGGCCTAGCCTGCCCGAGGGGGTATACCCCAGGTCGGGTTGAACCCGGGTCAAGATGAGCCAAGTCAAAACCTGCCTAACCCAGCTTATTTGTTCCACCTCTAGCAATTGCAGTGGTCTCTATCTCTGCCTATTTCTTGCCACTTTCATTTTTCTTGTCCCTCTTGTACTGCTCGCACTTTCTGCAATGTTTCCGGACGTGCTTTGGTTTGTCACATTAGAAGCACTTCTTTTCTATCTTTGACTGCGACTTCCCATTGGACTTATGGTTGTTGTTGTAGCCGTGATTTTTGCTCTGACTTCTTCCCCGCCTTTGTTGACTTTTCGTAGCAAGTTCCTCAGACTGTGAATAAGAACCCTGTGACTTTCTTCTCGCCTTCCAACATGTTACTCTTAGCCAAATCCATTGTACTGATTCCATTTGGCGCAGAGTTAGACATTGATATTCTGAAAGTCTCCCACGAGTCTGGCAATGTACCAAGGAGCCACAATCCCTGTACCTTATCATCAAAATTGATACCCATTCCATTCCAGCCAACTGAATGATTCATTGGAAGGCATTTAAGTGATCTGCTGTAGGAGATCCATCTTGGTATCATAACACCATCATCTGCTTGATCATTAGCATATTAGTATTCCTAGTTTTTCGTGCGTACACCTCCTCAAGCTTATTCCACAAGGTGCAAGCATGTGTCTCTTTACTGACATGTTTCTTCACATTATCATCTATCCACTGTCTGATGTACCCACACACCTGCTGATGTGATAAATTTTATTCTTCATTAGTTTTATTTGCGGGTTTTTCAATAGCAAATACAAGCAGATAATAATCTTTCACGTACAGAAGATCTTCCATTTTCTCTTTTCATACATGAGATAATTTGAACCATTCAGACTGACCATTTTGCTTAGATTGACTCCATCCTAGTACACATAATAACTAACTCAACCGCAAATGACCTTCGTGCATGCTCTGATACCACTTTGTTAGGAGAAACAACAACAACAAATCGAAGAGAATATGGGCTGCACAAAGGGATGAATTTCTTCTTTCTCTTACGTAATCCTAATAGGAAGCAATAATGTAGAGCAATGTATCAACTGAAATATCACAACACCTATCACACACAGAGAAACACAAGTCAATTTTGATGTGGAAAAACTCCTCACACTGTGTGAGGAGTAAAAACCCATGAGACCAGAGTCCCTTAAAAATCTCCACTATCAATTGAATAATGGGTATACAATGTTCTTTTCTAGCTAGAACTAGAGGCATACAACAACGCTATTATCAAGAACCACAAACTTGGTATCACAATGGAATTTCACAAGAGATCAGGGATAAATTTTACCAAATGTAGGTATTGTTCATTGACGAAAAACTTGACGCAGGGAGCTCCAAATGACAATCTGATTGTTCAGATTGAAGAACTACGAGTCAGGAGCATACGACCAAATACAATCTGATCAATCTCCAATTGACAGTGTGATGAAAACTGTCGATGCCCCCCAAACCCAATTTTTTTTGCCTCTCTTTCTCTCTATTTTTAGGCTTTTAGCTGATCCTATTTTTCCCTCACCCATCTTCCATCACAAACATCAAATTGGTGTAACTTTCACACAATTTTACTATTGTATCTCTAACCTCTTACACCAAAAGAAATATTCTCTTTCTTTTTCTTTCTATTAATTCTCAACAATTAATTTATTTCACTAATTATTTTTTTATATATTAATTAAATATTGAAAGTAATATGTATTATTAATTAACTACTAAAAATAACTTTAAAAATTATGCTAATTTAATAAAATTCAGTTTATTAAATTAAGTAAACATTACATTTAATATAAAAAAAACATTACATCTAATATAAAATGCTAAATTGTTATTTTAATTTATGTTGTATTTTCTTTTAATTCAAGTGTTTTTAAATTAGTGTCAATTTATTTTGAGTTATTAAAGTTTAATATTTGCATTGGAATAATTTATTTTGAGTTATTAAATTTTAATATTTGCATTGGAATGAAGTTTTGTTTTTAATTTTTCATCATTTTTTGAATTATATAATTATTATAAATATTAATATAAATAATAATCAAATTAACATAAATACAAATTAAAAAATAACAAAAATAAGGAAATAAAAGATGTTTTGTGTGGCTTTTGGTGTTTGGTTGGAGCAAAATTTGGATATCATTTTGGTGTTTTACACCAATTTAGTGTCCCATTGGATATGCCCTGAACAACCACCCAAAAACTATTGCATTTTAGTCACAAAACCCTAAGCAGATGCCCATGGTGTTTTAGCAAAATTTTAAATGTAGGGGGTTAAAAAAAATAATTCAAAAAATAATAATAAAAAATACTATTATATTAATATTTAAAAATGAGGGCAATTTAACAATCTATATAACATACCAATTCATTTATCTTACTAGCCAAACACTTAATCTAAACATTCCCAATAATCTGCAAGTTGATTTTTTTAATGTTAATATAATATATCCCTATAATAAAACATTATATGATCTAAATGCCCATTACTCTAAATAAAACGACCTATCTATGAGGTGATGAGTCAAAGATTGATTACGACACATGTTAATAATAATAAAAGTTATTTCTATTGATCTATGTAAGCCTTTGTGACATACTACTGGTAAAAACAATTAGTAATAAAAAATTATCCAAAATTATTACCAACAAAATTATGTTGCGAATTTAACTTAATTTGATCATATATAATGTTGGGGTCTCAACCATATAGATTAATTTAGATCAATGAGGGAGTTTTATTTATAAATTAAGAAATTGAAGCTTTTGCTGTTTTATATGAGCCAAATTGAGTCTAAATTAGTTTTGAGTTAAATCTCCTATCCCCAACATAGCCCATTACAAAATAACACTAAACAATAAACAATCCATTATGAAATAACACAAAAAAAGTAAATTACAAGAATCAGAAATAATAGCATTCAAGAGCTGCTGTGTGGTGGTTGAGACACCACTTGGATAACAGAAGAAACGGCTTGTACAATTGTAAGTAAAATCAGAAAAATAGCAGCAATTACCGAAAGGATAGCCCATGGAGTGTTGAAATAATTTTGTATCAAGTTGCCCTCCACATGTTATACCTTTTCTCACAGTAGTCTTCCAAATCTTCACAAAGACTAAGAAAATAAAATTTCTCATAATCCAAAGTTGTCCCTTTTGAGAGGTTATTTAAAAGAGTTGATGCCCCCTTTTTATCCGGCAACCAATTTTCAATAATCTTTTCTCGAACAAGCAGTTCAACATCTTTCGGAGTATTGTAAAGATGATTGATGATAAAAACATAATCGTTAATATAACTATCCACGTAATGACGTTGTTCAAAAGCAATCAAATTCCGAAACAAAGATTCAGTTTCAAGCTGAAGTTTCAGCTGTGGAATTTCCAAAGTCCCCTTTGTGAATGTTATATCAAATGACTCGTTGCTTTCGCTCTTTTTGAACTTCGCTCCAGCTTGGTTGAGTTGGATCACACTTGGTGCAGTTACAACTTTTCTTTTCTGTAGACGTGGAGCCGATTTAACTGATGGTAGATGACAAGTTCTTATAAAGTCAGTGAAATGTTTCACTTCCACGTTATTGTTCTCAAACTTCTTTAATTTGCCATTTACTGCTTCTAAACTCTTGAAAAATTCGTATGTAAGCTCGATGATTGGTTTCCAATTCTTCACTAATTCAGAGATAGTCTCCAGGTTAAAAATATCCTGAAGAATGAAGAATGGAATCTGATTCTCAAGCAACCACATTTCGTACCATATATCTTGTATCAAAAATGGCTTTTCAATATATGGTCTTCCTGTTTTTGTAAATCTCGGAACTGAGACCTCAATAACACTTCAATGATGAACGTTGCATCCACCAAGATCATTTCCACAAATTCTTCATGATCAAATTCTATTTCTTCAGCATAACAGCTACGCAATTGTTGTTCCTTTTCTGTGATTAAGTTTAGCAGATCGTCCAATTTTGCACCAGTCCGTTCAAGGAACTCTTTCAGGTACCTCTGTTTTTCTTTTTCCATGGATTTTAAGTGTTGTTTCCCGTGGTGAAGAGGGCCGATGGAGACTACTTGAGGTGCATAAGCTTTTTCATTTTCTTGGCGAAGACGCTGTGGAACTCTATAGATACAACAGTTTGAGGAACGGGGCAATTGTGGCAGCTCCTCTAACTTTGCTTTCAAAGATTTTCGTGGCTTTAGTCTTGCATCAATATTGGTTTCTTTCGCCCTGTTAACTCAAATAAGATACAATTAATTAATTCAATGTGAGATATAACGCACGTATATTTTGGATAAATGAGAAATAAAAATTGAAGTGCATACTTACATGTTAACTGCACGTAGTGGCTGATCTCTTGGAGCTGCACAGAAGCTCTTAAGATGATAGGGTAAATCTGCTCATATCCAGGTTTGGAAGAAGATGGTGAAGATTTATAAGTTAAAAAAGGGCAAAAAAGAATAAAGAAAAAAGAAATAAAGAAAAGAAAAGTGCACAAATACAATTTAAAGTCTCGGCATCTTCCTTGGAACGGCATAGATATGCATCAGAACCTCATAACAACGAGTATAAATGTTTGATTTTTCTTCGAGCTCAAGTCACCATAAAGTAGTTAATTAATGTGAATCCTTGTATATTTATATATATCCCTTTCTTCCAATGGTTATATAAGTATGATCCTTATATATATCCATTTCTCTAGATTTTCCTCAATTACGAGGGTTGCACTTTTAAATTTATGCACAGAACTAAAGAACTTGAATGACTGTCATTTTACCGGTCCAAGTCAAAAATATTATTTTTTACTCGTTTGAGATCTACAATGGGTTATTAGTAGAAAATAGTTAAAATATATATATATATATATATTAGAAGATGATCAAGCCACTAAAATATCAACATTCTTTTAATATAAGGCCGAACGATTTGTGCATACCCAAGGTTTACTGTAATGACAAGTTGGTACCTAAAAGGTTTTGAAACGACAAATAGGTACCTTCTGTCATGTTCTGTTAGTGATTTTTGTTTATTAATAGTGAAAAGACTAAAATGCCCTTCAAAGTTTCAATTTTAGTTTTTTATAAATTTAAAAATTTCTAAAAAACCCCCTAGGTTTACTAATTTAATTAAACACCCTCACATATAAAAAGTTTGTTAAATGACAAAAACACCCCCACCACCCCTAGTGCCAGATTCCGGCCACCTTCGCCGGAATCTGGCCGGAATACTGCATTACGACATAGACCCGTCGGATCTGTGTCATAACGTGCCGATCTGGCCTTTTCCGGTCAGATCCGCCACGGATCTGGCCGGAAAAGGCAAGATCTAGCCGTCGAAGCAGCAGCCAGATCTGGCCTTTTTCGGCCAGATCCGTGGCTGATCTGGCCGGAAAATGCCAGATCTACTACCAGATCTGGCCTTTTCCGGCTAGATCAGCCACGGATTTGGCCGGAAAAGGCCAGATCGACGCGTTACGACACAGATCCGATGGGTCTGTGTCGTAACGCAACTTTCCGGCCAGATTCCGGCGGTGGTGGCCGGAATCTGGCACTGCGGGTGGCGGGGGTGTTTTTGTTATTTTACAAAATTTTTATATGTTGGGGTATTTAGTTAAATTTGTAAACTTAGGGGGTTTTTTAGAAATTTTTAAATTTATAAAAAACTAAAATTCAAACTTTTAAGGGCATTTTAGTCTTTTCACTATTAATAAACAGTAATAAACAGAAATCACTAACAGAACATGACGGAAGGTACCTATTTATCGTTTCAAAATTTTTTGGATACCAACTTGTTGTTACGACAAACCTTGGGTACGTGTAAATCGTTCTCCCTTAATATAAAATTGTATCCGGTATAGGATGGCGTGTTATGATATTCCTAAACCTCATCTGAAGCAAATAAACCATGAAAAAGCTTCAAGGTTAGAAAAGAGAAAAAAAAGAAAGAAAAAGAAAAAAGGGTACAATAATAGTATAAATTTCTAAGCTTTAATTTGTTCATAACGCACAAATAGAAACTCTTGAGTTTATTCCCAACCAGTATGATAGAATCATACAATTTCCACAAAAAGAGCATCTAAAATTCTTGAACATTGTCTTAAGGTGTGATAAAAAAGTGAGCAATATTTTTTCTTTCATGGAAATTGAAAAAATTACATTAGCAGCCTGATTTATTTGCTATGAATCAAAAGTCCAATGGTTTATATTATGTAATTCATCTTTTTTGAAGCTTTGGATTGCGATCAAGATGATTTATTATAGTATGAACTTTCAGCAAAAATAAAGTAAATGATTTATTTGTTTTTGTTAGACATAATATATCATATTCATCACTCTAAAAGTAGGGATTTAAAAAAAATCTAATGGATTTGATATCCATGAATTTTATCCAATTTGGATTGGATTGGATCAATCTATATATGAAATGGATCAGTTGAATCCATATTAATCCAAATGGATTAGACTGGATTATGAATATCCAATATCTAATCCATTAAGACTTCTCTTAGAAGATTTGGGTTATCCACCTAGTCAACCAATCCAATTTTATTGTGATAATAAAACAACATGTGGTATTTGATCATAATCTAGTTTAACATGACCGTACGAAACATATTGAAGTGGACACATTTTTTATTAAAGAAAAACTAGATAAAAATATTGTTGAATTGTCTACGATTCGATAAGACGATCAATTAGCCGACATCCTTACCAGAGCAGTCTCTAGAAGCATATTCTCATATGTTTTAGATAAGTTGGATATGTGTGACATCTATACACTAACTTGGAGGGAGAGTGGTAAAATATTTTGTATATTTTGTAATCTTCTAATTATTTCAAGATATTTTGTATACTCCGTAATCTCCTAATTATGTTATTTAACATAATATGTAATATTGTTAATATATTAACTAATATAATTACGAGATTTCAGTTGATTGTATCATTCCTATATACTCCGCAATCTATGATTGAAAAAAAAAAAAAAAAAAAAATTCTGACAAATTTTCCAATTTCTCTTCCAAATGTGTCCAAGGCATATCTGAAGATCTTGATTGTTCGTCCTGTCAACTCCAACATGGTAAACAATCAACTCCCTATCAAAGATAATGCACTAACAAATAATAACGCAGCTTTTTGTGTGTATATTCTAATTAATGTGAGTATTTTGTGAATACTAAATATTAATAATGACATATTGGTAGATAATATGGCTAGTCAAATTTGCCGTCACATAATTTAAAATACAGGTTTGGGATATTTAATTTATCACATAACTTGAAATACAAATTCAAGATACTTAATTTGTAACCTAGTGGTAAGTCTACCTATATTCTATAGTACATCATTTGAAGCATTCTTTGATATTAATCCCAAAATCAAATAAAACCTCAAACAAAAATAATTTATTACAATTTCAGAATTATAATATCTTATAAATTATAACCTTCTTTTCTCCCGGCGGATCTGATGGCAGATGAGATGGTAGATGACAAATTCTTAGAAAATCAATGAAATGTTTCACTTCTTTCTTACAATCAATCAACTTGTGTAATTTTCAGTTTACTGCCTCTAAATCCTCGAAAAATTTGTAAATAAGATAGATGACTGTTGGATAATCATTCTCAACTGGGATCTTTTCAACAACTTCGTTTAGATTAAGAAATTCATCGAGAATAAAGAATGGAATTTGATTCTCAAGCAACCACATATCATACCAAATGTCCTGTAGCAAATATGGTTGCCTAAAAATATGGTCTTGTTTCTCATTTCGAAGTGTAGAGTAGGTGTTCCTTAACAAGACTTCGATGATGAAGATGAAGTCCACCCGGATCATTTCAACAAATTTGATTAAAATTGGGATAATTAACTGAAAATTGTGAATTTCAAAAATTTTAGAGAGGTAAATGACTTTTAGGCACTGTTTGGATTGGGGGTATATAAGATAACAGGGTAATCTTCATTTATTTTGCTAGATTCTCCCGTGTTTAGTTTGCAAGTAATATAATATTACGGTAATCTTTTATTGTAAATAGTGTTTCCTGTTGGTAATATAGAGGGTAATCTTATTATCTTGTTAACGAGTTTTATTAAAATATTACTGAGGTGATATGATTTTTCTGCCCATTTTGCCCTTAATTAAAATCCATTTCGGACACAATTGCCCTCAAATGTCTACCAAATAACAATTACTCAGCCCCCTTACATTTGAGAAATTAGCTAAAACACTCCAGCTACAAAAAGTTTAAAAGTTAACAAAATACCCCCAACCACAAAAAAGTTTAAAACTTAACAAAATACCCCCAACCACCCAAGACCACCGTCAACCATGACTCACCATCGCTGGCTAGACGTCAGTCGCTGTAATGGTACACGACCGATGGGATCTGACCAGTTATGCGCCGGTAAGGCCATTTTCGACCATGGATCATAGATCCATGGCCGAAAACAGCTAGATCTAGCGTTTCTATGGTCGTTTCACAGCCAAAGATGTGGTCATGAAACGGCCATAGATCTGGCCGTGAAAAGGCTAGATCTTTGGTTGTGAAATGGCACGACCAAAGATGTAGCCTTTTCACAGCTAAGATCTGTGGTCGTGAAATGGCCATAGATCCGGCCGTTTTCCAGCCATGAATTTGTGATCCATGGCCATTTTCGGCTTTGCAGGAGCATGATTAGCCATATATGGCCAGTCGTACGCCATTCCATAGATTATCGGCCGCTACTGATGGTCTTAGGTGGCTGGCTGCAGTGGCTTTAGGTGGGTGGGGGTGATTTTGTTACAAATTAAAGTTTCATATGGCTGGGGTGTTTTAGCAAAATTTCAAATGTAGGGGGTTAAAAGAATGATTCAAAAAATAATAATAAAAAATACTATTATATTAATACTTAAAAAGGAGAGCAATTTAGTAATCTATATAACATACCCACCCATTAATCCTCCCAACCAAACATATTATTCACCAATTTATTCAAACCAACCAAACATAGAATCTAAATATTCTGAGTAATCTTCAAGGTGATATTTCTTTCCATTAATATAATATATCCCTACAATAAAATATTATATGATCCAAACACCCCCTTACTCTAAATAAAAATGACCTATCTATGAGGTGATGAGTCAAAGATTAATTAGGACACATGTTAATAATAATAAAAGTTACTTCTATTGATCTATGTAAGCCTTTGTGACATACTAATGGTAAAAACAATAAGTAAAAAAAAATTACCCAAAATGATTACCAACAAAATTATGTTGCGAATTTAACTTAATTTGATCATGTATAATATTGGGGTCTCATCCATATAGATTAATTTAGATCAATGAGGGGGTTTTATTTATAAATTAATAAGT